TTTTCTTCTTTCCCAGAGGCTTTTTCTTCCAGAGTTTTCCCATCTCAAATTTTAAAAAGCAACAAAATGCTTCCCTACCATCCTGTTCTTCCTCTGGTTATCATCCTCCCATCTTTCTGTCCCTGAACTTGGTGAGCAGTAGTTTACAATGTCTTCTTCCCCTCTAACACTTCAAGCCAATGTTCTCAGGGTCCAGTCCCCAGAAGGCCATTGTAACTGTTCTTGACCATTTCCAGGCAACTCCTATTCCCCTATGCTCAGATATAACATATACATCATAATCCCTGTACTATTTTAAGAGTTTACCAAAACACAGATAGTGAATTGCCAAGTTTTACCAAGACACAGATAGTGAATGCCAAGTAATATATATAGTGTCCACCTTAAACTGGTGATCATAAGGGCTTACTACGCTGTTGACATTAGGATGAGACCCCTATTCCCATGGCCAGCCAGAAGGGACACTCAAGCAGGAAGCAAAGAATTGCACAAGGGGCAGTTCACATAATCAACTTTGGATTTGTCTCACTTGGCTTTTTTTGCTCAAAGTTAGTGCTCTACTACTTGACCCATGCCTCCACTTCCAAGTTTTTGCTGATTAATCAGAGATAAGAGTTTCAGATTTATCTGTCTGGTTTTGAACCATGATCCTCAAATCTCAACCTCCTGGTAGCTAGAATTATAGGTATAAGCTACCAGCATTCAGCTCAAATTTTTTATGATTGTTTATTTGTGTGTGTAAGAGTGTGTGTGTAAGCACATGTGCATATGCCAGTCCTAGGGCTTGAACTCAAGACCTGCACACTGTCCCTGAGCTTTTATGCTCAACTATAGTGATCTATCACCTGAGCCACAGCTCTACTTCTGACTTTTTGTGGGTTAACTGGAGATAAGAGTCTCACAGACTTTCCTGCCCACTCTGGCTTCAAACCATGACCCTCAGGTCTCAACCTCCCGAATATCTAGGATTACAGGCATGGTTCACCAGCACCAGGCTCAGGTTTATTTTTTAAATGACTCAAGCAGTATGGCACCTGCCTAGCAAGCACAAAGCTTTGAGTTCAGATCCCAGGACCACCAAAATCAAATGAAAAAAGAAAAAAAAATACTAAGGTAACACTGAGGAGAGACTAAACTGTCTTCAGAGGGAAGAGAAAGCTTTAGAGAGACAATACCTTAACTAGATAATCAAGGAAACACAGGAGCTTGTCAGGTAGTGTTCTGTTCTACACAGAACATACTTTGTATATATGGCCTATGCCATATATAGTGACATAATATAGGCCATATATAGTGACATAATGAATGCCATGCAAGAAACCTAAGGAGGAAGATCCAATTTATATTGGAAAGACCAATGGAATGGACAGGAAAATCAGAGGCCAAAGACCATTCATAATTCACTGAAATTAACCTAGTAGGTGACAGCATCAATTTCTGTTTAAAATGAATTCAAATAGAATAAGAAGTTTCAGAGATTATCTGACACTGTTGTACTGGATACCTGTTTGCATACTAGGTAACAAAGTAAAATGTGCTAGTTCCTTGGCTCACACCTATCCAGATCTCAGGAGGCTAAGATCTGAGGGTCACAGTTCTTAGCCAGCAGAGACAGGAAAGCCCATGAGACTCTTATCTCCAGTTAACCTGCAAAAAAGCTAGAAGTGGAGCTGTGACTGAAGTATAGAATGCCAGCTGACAGTGCCAAGGACGTGAGTTCAAGTTCTAGTATCAGTACACAAAAAAGTAAAATGTTCCCATGATTAAAAGTTAAAAAATTTTGAGTTAGATGACTAGCAACTGACCCAGTGAGTGAAGAGAGTAAGGGAAAAGTCCAGGAGAACTCCTAAATTTCTGGTGTGAGTGCCTGAATGGATTCACAATGACACTACCTGAGGTAAAGAGGAGAAGGGCTGCTATTCTCAAGTGCATGTAGGGATTATGGGTAACTCAGCAGCCTCTCAGCACTTTTCAATAGCTACAGTAAATATTCTCATCTTTTTCAGCAAAGACAATGGACGCACAGTCATCACAGCTGTAAGCTCAGATGAATGCTTTGTGGGTACTGGGGGCTGAGGGGAGGTCCCCAGTCCTAAATACCAATCCACTGTGGAACCAGAAAAATCATCTAGGGTAAGTGAAACAGGAATCATCATCCTTGGGAACCCAAGCAAGCTGAAAAGTCTGCCTTCTCTGAATATTTTTATTAGGAGTCAGGTTTTGTTGACTTTTTTTTTTTTTTTTTTGGCAGAGGCAGGGGGAGGTGCGCAAGGGGGTTATGACTATTTTGTGATTTTTTTTTTTTGGTCGATCATGGGGCTTGAACTCTGGGCCTGGGCGCTGTTCCTCAGCTCTTCAGCTCAAGGCGAGCACTCTACCACTTGAGCCACAGTGTCACTTCTGGTTTTCTGAGTGGTTTATTGGAGATCAGAGTCTCATGGACTTTCCTGCCTGTGCTGGCTTTGAACTGCAATCCTCAGGTCTCAGCCTCCTGAGTAGCTAGGATTACAGGTATGAGCCACCAGTGCCTGGATTTGTGATTGTTTCTAAGCCTCCTCCTACCTCACAGTTCTACCTCCAAGAAGTATTTCAATCCTTGTATCTAGAGCAAGTCTACCAAGCTTTTGAGTTTGGGATTTGGCCATCCCTAAGACATAGTACTGGAGTTTCATGCTAAAAGAACAGAACTAAAGGAACATAATTTCTCCATAGATTTGAGGCAGCTCTGTGACTCTTCCTAATCCTCTCTAGAAGGAAGACTTGTTTAAGTCTTGGAGGATCATATAGCATCAATGGGCCCTAAGTGACCCTTTCTACATCCCTCCACAATTCTGCCCAAAACACTTCAGACAACTGGCTGTCTTCAAAGGCTCCATGCTATGTACAAGTTCGGTCTTTTGCTCCTGATAGCTCTAGTGTAATCTGTCTACCTTTTGTCTGAGAGTAATTCAATTCACCCTTCATGGCATACCTCAAATGTTACCTCTACCACAGAGCAACTCTTTAACACACCGCTCAGCCCTGTCACCAAATTTGGAGTTAGTTCCACCTTTATGGGTTACCATAGTACCTGCTTGTGCCGTGGGCACAGCATTCCACTACCATCCATTATAGGGATCTGTATTTACATCCATTTTCCAGTCAAGTTGCCTGAACGTCTAGATCATACCCTAGCCTTCCCTCCAACATAGTACAATCCTGAACACACAGTAGGTCCTCAATTAGAGTTTGTTCATTCTAATCAAAGAGCTACTGATTCAGTCCACCAAAACCTGCAGATCAACAGAACTAAGAAAGAACAGGGTGGAGGGGGGACCCAGATGACATTCCTCCTCTCCTTAACTGGTGGTACATATACTCCACTCCTCTTGAGAAATGTAACCAGCCTCAACAAGGAAGGCTCAGTAGGCATACTTTGGAAACTTGAAAGAACTACAAGTAGTTTCAAGGCTCTCCCAGCTGCTATTAGTCAGGTATTGACCTTGGGATGTGGTCACAGGGATTATATGTTTTATTTTGCCATCCACTCCCTCTACCACTCTGATACCTCTAGCTATATAGGTAATAAAGAGTCTTTCATACAGGCTCTGAATATTATCTTTGAGCTCCTCTGGGAACAGCTTAGCCTTCTCTCAACCCTCCCACCTTTCCAGTGAGTAATTCTACAGTGCCACCTCTGCAGTCCTCAGCTCTTGAAAAAGTAGTTTTCCTCAATATATCCAGTTTTCCTCTCTGCACCCTCCCTTCTTCACAGTGACAACCAAAGGAAGGTAGTATGGATGTCTTTTCAGCTGCCTGACTGAAAGCCACAGCATATTAAGAGAACTAACAGGTAGCACTAGGAAGGGCTTTGATAGCTGCAGCTTCCCCTCTGATCCCATAAACTCGACTTTCATCACTACAGAACTCTGCCATCCAGACTTATTAACTGTCCATTTACCCAGCTTATCTCTCTCTAATATTAGGCCACAGCTTCTTGAGGACTATCCCTAGATCCCAGCAAAGTGCTAGAACATAGCGTGCACTCAATAAACTAGTGGCTTAAAAGGAAAAAAAACAAAACAAAAAACCCATAAAATAACTGCCACCTAAGGGCCCTCAGCCAAAGTCAGTGATGATGTGAGTTCAGAAGAAACATTTTAGAGGTGATCAAGACCAAATGTCTTTATATAGTAGTCAGTCCTGTGATGCAAGGCTCAGCCGAAGGCAGCCTCAAACAAGGGATCTTTTGAGAGGGCAGCCATTCCCCACGTTCCTCAGATACTCACTATGGTTAAAGTAGTAAACCTAGTTCTCTTGAATTTACTTTCCCAAGATTGGGCAGTTCAAAAAATACATTCCCCAACCCCCACTTTAACAACTCCTCTATCCCTCTGACCTTTAATACTGTGTAACAGTAGATGAAAAATAGATTTTTTTCTTTTGCTACTTACATCACAGCTGAAGAAAAAATATACTGTCTAAGGTGTTAAATATTTTTACATGCAACAAACCTGGCATGACTCTAACCTGTATGCACATCTTAAGAGAGAGGTACAGGAGTAAATGTCAGTGCTATAATTTGTTATAGGTTTCTGATGACCAGCAATGAAAATGACCACGGATTCTCACAATTCAAACCACTTTTACGTAAATGTGAACTTTCCTAAAACAGCCCCAGCAAAGAACTTTCCATCTAAATGCAGAGTCTCTGAGAGATACTGATAGCATTGTTCACTTACTTAGGTGTTTTTTGGAAAAAAAACAAAATCTTACAAATATTAGTTTCTTTCTGAGCCTGTGCTTTGACCTTTAATAAAAATATGCTTCAAGACCCCAGTTATTAAAATGAAAGGAACAGTTTTTATGCCTGAACAACTGCCATTTCATATACTGAGCCCTGAGGAAGGCTCTATCTTACAAGTCAACAGTGTTTAAACACACACACACACACACACACACACACACACACACACACACACACACCATACTTAGCAATCTCACTTAAATTGCTCACTTACCAGACATGAAGCAGGGTTATAAGAAACCATGAATTGAATGTGTCGGGCATCTGACACCCTAGAAAACAACAATAAAGTATAAATATGTGAAGATTTAAAGGCATACTGGCTCTATTTGAAATGCTGGTGAGAATTTGTTCAACTACTATATATGGCAGTAAAATGCTATCTGATGATGCTATCACAAAGAACAAGGGCAACCTAAGGCAAGACCATGGGTAAAAGAACATGGAATATAATCAGATGACCACCCTTCTAGTTCCAGCCTTGTTATCCTAAGACCTTGTGGTCTTGAACAAATCATTTCTCCCCTGAGTCTCAGTTTTCTCATTTTGTATAATGTGGCTTAGATGATCCCAACGATTCCTTCCAACTTCCATGTCATTCCATGGTATTTTTCCCTTCCTGGGCTTGAGTTTTAAAAACCTAACCAACCTCACCTTGCCTGTTCTTACATGTCAGCTTTTTTTTCTTTTTCATTTAAACTTTTTCCTATCTTCTTTCTTTAAGATGATCCAATGTGGTATAGTTATGGGTATGCTGAATAATTCAAAAGTTGACTAGGAGGAAAAAGTTGGAGCTGCAGCTAAAGAAAGCAGACTACCCAATGAATGCCCATTCATCACCCCCAGTAATGACAAAACCTGGTAGCACGTCTTCATTTCAGATCCCACAAAAGTTCAAGAGGATGAAGAAAAAGAAAATGAGCAGGAAATTTGGTATGACAGAATCTGTGTTTTGGAACAATGACTCAAGAAAGAAATGGGAAAGCTGCTTTTGGAGGTTTACAGCTATAATCCCAGAAGTTGGAAGGTAGAGGAAAGAGGATCCAGAGTTTAAGGCCAGCCTGGGGTACATAGGACGACCCTATCTCAAACACATAAAGAAAGAAGTGGAATCTTCTGCCATTCAGCCAGTTCTATAGTACATAATTACCAAATTATAACAAATGGACTCACTAGGAGATAAAACATAAATAAATTTATATGTGAGGGAAACAACACCATCAGTACTAATAAGGAGTTGCAATTCATAGTGGACTTAACAATGTGACATGTGTTATAATAGCAGCTTTGCATGAAATAAGTTCAGTGAATCCTCCCTATGATACTATCCCCATAATATGGATCCAGAATCAGGTAAGAAAACTAGTTCTTAAATGTATCAGCACAATCTCCCATAGAATTCATAGAACTAGGAAATAAGATATCTAGGAGCAAATTCAGATTCGCTTGATTCTGCATTCTTCATTATGACTCCAACTGTCTCTCTAATCCTAAGAATAGAAACCAGTCCTAGAAGGGCTGTATTACTTGCCGAGTCCACTATCAGTAATGTCAATACATTATCTCAATCCTCATTTTAACCCTGGAAGGCAGCATTATGATCCTATTTTGGAAAAGAAGAAACAAATCCAAAAGACCAGGTAACTGGCAGCCATCTACAGTATTACCAAGTCTGTGGCAGGTCTGGGGTTTGAATCCAGGTCTGTCATAAAATGACAGCAAATACTCCACTTAGCCTACTGGGAGGTGCCCAGCAGCTGTCAAGTGGACTTCCTCTCTGAGCCCAGCAGGAGAGAGCCCAAGGCTGGCCTGGCCAGTCAGACAGCTATTAAGACACATGCCATCTGAGAGTGGGCCAACCACCCTCCACCTAGAACGAGAATAGCCCTGAGAAACTCTTAAGCCGGATCTAAAGCTGGGTCTTTTTTTGGATGCTAGAACAAAACATTAAAACGAAAAGTTTTCTTGGAAGTTTGTCTTTCAATCTGGAAAATGCAATTTGGCTACTTTTAAAGGACAATCTGTCCAACTGCTACCTCTACATCAAAGCTTCTCAGGAGCCTTCAGGAGCCTGTCCAATTTCCTCAGAAAGGGAATCAGTTCTCAGGCTGGAAAGTACAGACAGACATATAGGCCAACAGCTGGACCTAGGTCACAAATTTTGCCTTCTGGGGGTCAGCTCAGGGCTGAGCATGAGAAAAGAGCTGGCATATGAAGGAGTCCCTGCTACCCACAAGGATCAGAATAGAAACCTACACAATAAGGCCCTCAAAAAATAATAAAACCAACAAATGTTGACTATGAGAAACAGAAAAAAACACAACAGATTCTTTACCTCGGTGAAATGTGTTTAAATAGTTCAAAGTTAAACCTGCAATAATCTTTTGCCATGACCACACTCTTGTTCCAGCGCACATTTGGTGCATTATTTTTTGAGGATAGGCACTTTCTCAACACTAAATTTGATCAAATTAATTTATTATTGTGATTTTAATATGGCTTCAATCAAAACCTTTACTCCTTACTTGTTACACAACTCTGGACCAAGTTACTTAGCCTCTAAGTGGTTTGGTTTTTTTCTCTGAATAAATGAGAGAATAAGACTGCTTACATTATATAATTTTTGTGAAGATTAAGTGAGATAAGGCCTGTAAAATGCTTAGCAAAATGGCTAGCATTTAATAGGTACTCAAACTTTTCAGTGAATTATTTAAATTTTAGGATTTAAGTTACTTTATGAGTTATTTAAGATTGCATCATATGAGGCAACAGCTTTAATGATTGTCTACCTTTGCTCCAAAGTGCTCTTCAAGGTAGAACTCATCTCCAAAGGACCAGTCAGCAAATGACTGTGTCCACAGTGGGCACACTCATTTATGACGACACAAAGAGATCATCAAAGCATCTTAGGAACAACAGGTGCTGATTAAAGTATCTTTCTTACAAGATCTATGAACACTTTGACTCTAAAATGATGGTCTACAACTTTGGCATTTTGTTCAAGACGTTGATAAGTACAACATACTGTGAGTATACAAGTAACTCACATACCACTTTTGGGAAATGTTACCAGCCTCACTTTTGCTGGGGAAAGATGACACTGGTCAGGTGCTTGAGGCTTGCTATCCTCAGGACTATTAACAGTCAAGCCCTACAATATAAATATCCAAGTAAGCAATGTCCACTTTCAAATATGATCATGGGAAGATCTCTCTCTCTCTCTCTCTCTTTCACACACACACACACACACACACACACACACACACACTTTTCTTTTTCCAACTGTATCCGACATCTCTTTAGTATCCAAGTCATAAGAAAATTGGTTTCATTACTGTATTTTTTTAAAATCTTTTGCCCACCCCCCTCCCACACAGTACTTTCCAAAGTTGCTTCTTTTTATTCACTAGTTACACTTCGGTTTGATTTTAAAACTTACTACGCTCAAGTGACAAGGATGGGTCGTAATGAAGCATAATTAAAAAAATCTGAAGTAAGTGTGGTATCACACTTCATTTACATTTAAGGACAATGCTAGGACAAATACACTAATACACACACACACCATAGTATGTATAGACATCAGTTTATAATACTTATATATTATCTCACAGAAGGAATTCTCATATAACAAAGCACACAAATACTAACATGATTGCAATTTCAAATCTACAGTTACATTCAATTATGGGCAATATGCTACAGTGGGGAAATCCCTAGATTTTAAGCCAGACAACACAGGTGCAAGGCTTGGCTAAGTAATCCTGAAAAAGTCACTTAGTCTCGTTTAAGCCTCAACTGTTTTTGAAAACAAAACAAAAATAAACAATAATAAAAGCCCTCCCCATCCCATAACATTTGTAACTCTTAAAAGGATCAAGTATAAAAGCATATTGCCCAAATGTGAGTTATGAGTATTATAATTTCTTTTAGTTATACAACCAGCTTTGAGCTGAAACATGATATATGTTAAAGACTTAATTAAATACTTCTTGCTATATGATACAATAATATTAACTTAAAAACCTTCCATAATAAAGTGGGCTTGGCATGTGGCACAATGGTAGAGCACTTACTAGTAAGAGGCTCTAAGATCTAGCCCCAGTATCAACAAAAATAAAATACTTAGAAGTTAGGTAAGACAACTATAGCTAGCAAACATTCTTTCAAAATAATTACAATAAATGTCTGGGTTATTTACTAAATAGGATATTACAAATATCTGAGGGTAAAGTTGTTATTAAAATGACCCAATTTAGGGCTGGGAAGATGGCTCAGTGGTAGAGCGCTTGCCTTGCATGCATGAGGCCCTGGGTTCGAATCCTCAGCACCACATAAGCAAAAAGAAAAAAGCCGGAAGTGGCGTTGTGGCTCAAGTGGTAGAGCGCTAGCCTTGAGCTGAAGAGCTGAGGGACAGGGCCCAGGCCCAGAGTTCAGGCCCCACGACCGGACCCAAAATAAAATAAAATAAAATAAAATGACCCAATTTAGCTGGGCCCTGGTGGCCCACACATGTAATCCTAGCTACTCAGGAGGCTGAGATCTGAGGATCGTGGTCAAGCCAGCTCAGCTAGAAAAATCTGTGAGACTTTCATCCCCAAAAAACTATTCAGAAAAAGCTGGTGTTATGGCTCAAGTGGCAGAGTGCTAGCCTTGAGGACAAAGAGGCTCCTTAGGGACAGCACCCAGGCCGAGTTCAAGCCCTAGGACAAGCAAAAATAAATAAAGACAGACCTGATTTATAAAAATCTGATAGAGGGGCTGGGAAGGTGGCTCAGTGGTAGAGTGCTTGCTTTGCATACATGAGGCCCTAGGTTCGATTCCTCAGCACCACATAAGCAGAAAAAGCCAGAAGTGGGGCTGAGGCTCAAGTGGTAGAGCACTAGTCTACAGCTGAAGAGCTGAGGGACAGGGCCCAGGCCCAGAGTTCAGGCCCCAAGACCAAAAAAAAAAAAATCTGATAAGAGGGCTGGGAAGGTGGTTCAGTGGTAGAGTGTTTGCCTTTTATGCACGAGGCCCTGGGTTCGATTCCTCAGCACCACATAAGAAGAAAAAGCCAGAAGTGGTGCTGTGGCTCAAGTGGTAGAGTGCTAACTAGCCTTGAGCTGAAGAGCTGAGGGACAGGGCCCAGGCCCAGAGTTCAGGCCCCACAAACGACCAAAAAAAAAATCTGACAGAATATACTTGAGTACATAAATTCAAGAAAACACTTAAGGGGGGGTAGGAGGGGAAGGGAGGGGATATGGGTGGGGGGCAGGATATGGGAAGGGATAGGAAGGGCAAACAGAGGAAGCAACAATGCTTGATAAGAAATGTACTCATTGTCTTGCCCATGTAATTGTAACTCCTCTGTACAGGATTTTCATAATTAAAAAAAGAAAACACTTAAAAACAGCTTTTAATTTTAATAATTTATTCATCATATAGAAAAAGTCTATTTCGGGGCAGGGGGAGGATGGGAAGGGATGGGAAGGGGAAACAAAGGAGGAGGCAACAATGCTTGATAAGAAATGTACTCATTGTCTTGCCCATGTAATTGTAACCCCTCTGTACAGTATTTTCACAATAAAAAAAAATATTAAGTGAAAATAAAAAAGAAAAAGAAAAAGTCTATTTCTCAATTTGGACTAATTTTTCCCAAAATGAGAAGAGAGCTCATAAAGAATCAGGAAAGTTTTCTTTCCTGGTTATAATTAAGAAATAAAAAATACACAATAAAATGGAATTATAATTTAGTATGGTTTTTTTTTTTTTGGTGGTCACGGGGCTTGAACTCTGGGCCTGGGTGCTGTCCCTGAGCTCTTCAGCTCAAGGCTAGTGCTCTACCACTTGAGCCACAGCGCCCAGCTTAATATGGTATTTTCTAACATCAACAGTACTACTAACATTCTAGTCTCAGTCTGCTTCAAGAGTGAAATAACAAGCAGGGCACCAGTGGCTCACGCCTGTAATCCTAGCTACTCAGGAGACTGAGATCTGAGGATTGTGGTTCAAAACCAGTCAGGGTAGAAAAGTCCCTGAGATTCTCATCTCCAATTAACCAGCAGAAAACTGGAAGTGGAGCTGTGGCTTAAAGTGGCAGAATGCTAGCCTTGAGCAAAAGAGCTCAAGGACAGCGCCCAGGCACTGACCAAAAAAAGAAAGACTAAAAGAATAAAACAATTTGTATTTGATTTCTAAAATACAGAAACTACCCAATAATAAAAGCAACATCCAATATTCTTCACTGTTGTTATAACTATGTGAAAATATCTGAGAACAATACCAGTATATAAACCTATTAGAAGTTGGCTGCTTCAAGGATATATGATTACTGCCATGCAAGTGCAGAATGAATTTGGAAATGTCTTCAATTCTCCCAATCACCCTACAAGTACCGATTCCAATTAATATAATCAACTACTACTAGTGGTGGTCTAAAAACTTTTGACAGTAACTTATCAATGGTAAATAAAATTAAATGATGTTTCTGATTCAACATTCCTTTCTTTAATAGGAAGAAGGCTTATTTCGGGATTATCTAAAACAATTAAAAACTACAAATCTTAAAAAAGAATGCCTGGCAAAAAGTCCATATCAAAACGCTAAGCAAAGCCAGGCGCCAGTGGCTCACACCTATAATCCTAGCTACTCAGGAGGCTGAGAACTTAGTATCTTGGTTCAAAGCCAGCCCAGGCAGGAAAGTCCATGAGACTCATCTCCAATAAACCACCAGAAAACTGGAAGTAGCACTGTGGCTCAAGTGGTAGAGAGACAGCCTTGAGCTGAAAAGCTGAGGGATAGCGCCAAGGCCCAGAGTTCAAGCCCTACAACTGACCCCTCCCCCCAAAAAAATGCTAAGCAAAACATTGCAAATGTGAAATAGGTATTGTTTACTAAAGTGCATGTGTATATAATATAATGTCAGAGTAGTAAATTGGTTAAACTTCAACATGACACAGGATTCTTTGGGGGTTTTTCCTACTAAAAGAAAAGAAAAAAAAGCTCATTTACATTTGTTTAGGATAAATAAAAAGTAGATTCATTTTCCTTTTCAGAACTAGCAGAGAGTAACTTACTTAGAAAGAATTCCTCGAAGTCAGTTTTCTCCACACAGCTAGTATACATGCGCAGGGCTGCAATCTTAATCTTCTAGACAAAGAGAATAAAACCAAACTCAAGACATGATCAAGTAGATGTTCTAATGTCATTAGACATGAGTCCCAGAATCCTACATTTTTTCAGGATCCAAACCTATCTCTAGGCCATTTAAATTAACACAGATATTTGGCCATTTTTTTTAAGCTACCAATATCACACATTGTTCACATTTTAGGATTTCAGCATGAAAAGGTAAAAGAGGTTTTTCTTTTCTCTCTCTATCTCTCTCCTACCTCTTTCTCTCCCTCTTTTTTTTTCTCTCCCTCTGTGGTTATATGTATGTATGTGCCAGTAGTGAAGCTTGAATTCTTAATGAGCTTTTTGCAATCAAGGCTGGTATTCTACCACTTGAACCACACTTCCACTTCCAGGTTCCAGCTTTTTGCTGGTTAACAGTCAAGGATTTGTCTGTCTAGGCTGGCTTTGAACCAAGAATTTCGTATCTCAGCCTCCTATGTGGCTAAGATTGTAGGGATGAGCAACAGCACCTGGCTCAGAGGTTTTCATAATTTTGAAATTAAATCTTTCTCTCAACTCCGACTCAATTTATCACATTTCAACTTCTCTATATTGTTCACCATTATCCATACTAACTCTATATTCTGAAATCCTTTATATTAAGAAAATCACCAACAATTTATAGCTCAAGTGGTAGAACACCTGCCCTAGTAAGCATGAGGCCCTGAGTTCAAATCTTAGTATTTTCCAAAAAATTTATTCACTGTTCTTATAGAAATTAATCTAATAAAAACTTTCAAGCCTAAATCTTTCCTTAGAGGTTCTACAAACTAACAATGATTCTTTTGAAGGGAAGAGGCACATGTCTATGTTTTTCTATATTTTCTTTAACTTTAACAGATTGCAGATGAACAGAACACTGTGTGTCTAAACAAAAGTTTCTAATGAATATATAGAAGCAGAGCCAGGCATAGTAGAACATGTCTGCAATCTAAGCTTAGCATTCAAGAAGCAGTGGTAGGAAGGTCAAGAATTTGAAACTAGCCTGAACTATATAGTAAGACCTTGTCTCAAAAAAAGTAGCAAGCTCAACATTTTATTCTTTCCAAGGCACCAGGAATTCTCTTGGAATCTTGATATACCACATACTAATTTACCTAACTGCCTCTGTGTGTGTATGTATGTGCCTTGACTTGAAGTCAAGGCCTGGGTGCTGTCCCTGAGATATTTTCCCCCACTTAGGGCTAGCAGTCTATCACTTGAGCCACAGCTCCACTTTTAGCTTTTTTGGAAGTTAATGGGAGATAAAGAGTCTCACAAGTTTTCCTGCCCAGGCTGGCTTCAAACCTCAATCACCAGATCTCAGTAATTAGGATTACAGATGTGAGCCACTAGCTCCTAGCTACAAATTATATTTTAATAAAAATAAATTTAATAAGTTCTATAACTCTGAAGACCAAATCACACCAGACCAAGTATTTCAAGGACTTTCAAAATATTTCAAAAAAGTTACAAGTAAGTAAATTAGCACATCAACAAAAGATTTATAGCTTATCTTTCATAAAATGATAGGAAAATTTACAAACATGCTATAAACAAATACTATGTCATAGCAATTGATGAAACCAATGTAGAATTTAGTAGATCAAAGTCATAAGGAATGTTATATAATGTTTGTGCATATCTATACTCTCTAGAGGCAAAAATAACAGCGCCTCTGATAAGCAGAAATATCTACAATAAAGAAGGATTTTAGCCGGCTGCCAGTGACTCACGCCTGTAATCTTAGCCACTCAGGAGGCTGAGATCTGAGGATCATGGTTCAAAGCCAGCCCAGGCAGGAAAGTCTGTGAAACTCTTATCTCCTATAATTCACTAGAAAACCCAAAGTAGTGTTGTAGCTAGTGGCAGAGTGCTTGCCTTCAGCTGAAGAGCTCAGGGACAGTGCCCAGCCCCAGAGTTCAAGCCCCACAACCAACAACAACAACAACAACAACATCAAAAAAAGATTTTATCTCTGACTATATGTAATTAAGATTTGCTAATTTATCTGTTATATCCCCAAAGTTTTTTGCTCCCACAGAGAGCAAAACAATATATCTAATCAGACATGCCTACCAGAAATTTATCAGCACTTAGAAGCCCACCTTTAGAGGTGGGATATAGCTCAGTGGCAAAGTGTTTGCCTAGCAAGTACAAAGTCCTGGGTTCAATCCCTAGTACCAAGAAGAAAAGACAAAAAAAAAAAAAGGAGGAGGAGGAGGAAGAAGAGAAGGAGAGGAAGAAAAAGCAGTGGGCTGGGAAGGTGGCTCAGTGGTAGAGCACTTGCCTTACATGCCTGA